TAACCCACTGAATCATTTTTGGTGGCTTTATAACATTCCATCATATTAACTGACTTATTTGACTCTTCTCTACCACTGTGCATTTGAGTTGCTTCCCCTCTTTCACTGTTGTGCATCGTAGCTATAAAAAATTTTGTAACGACTATCTTCTTTTGGGTCACTTCTCTGTGATACATTTCCAAAAGTGGCATTAACCACTTAATAAGAATAAATAACGTCATAGCTCTAAGCATCTATTGCTACTCACACTCCTCAGAAACTCAGTGCACACTGTCATTAACCACGTGTATGGGCTTATTTCCCTATTGCCCTGACAACATTGGGTCTGATAATTTTCATTTGGTTTTACTGATTTTATAGGTGTAATATATGTATTTGTTTCTCACTTTCTACCAAAGAGAATTTAAAGTCTATTTAAAAGATATATGCAGTTCAGCACAAGAGACTAGAAAATAAAAAGAATAACAAAGTAATCCCAGTGCTCTGGGAGGCTGAGGCTAGAGATCGATTGAGCCTACGAGTTCGAGACCAGCCTGGGCAACATAGTGAGACCCCATCTCAGAAAAGAAAAGAAAAGTTAAAAAATTTCAACAACAACAAGTTTAAAAAAAAAAAAAAAAGCAAATTAAACACAGAGAGAGACTGAAAGCAGAGCCACAGATGACAAGACAGAAATGTTTTCCTGGAAGATGTCTAAATTAGTCAAGAGTCAGCCCATACATCTGTTTTTAAGTAAACTTTTTAGCAGTCATCATTAAGATGAAAACAGTTACATAATTCAGGGTTCAAAAGACAAAAGCAAACCAATCCTTCAGATGAAATTCTGACATCAAAATCAAAAATTTCTCCCAAGGGTTCTCACAAGGATGTCACCGTAGAAGAGCATGAATAAGGCCGAGAACAAACCCCCGGGACCGGCTGTCACAGACCTCATCTACATAGGCCATTGACATCACACGCCAAGGGCCGATACATCCTGTGGAAGCCTGCAGCAGTCTGACGGTCTGGCTTAAGTCTAAAAGGATGGCAGGATTCTCAGGGTCGTGGGCAGTCACCTCGTTCCCTCAGTGAAAAAGGCCAAAAGCACTCACGGCACTTTGTGATCACCGTGACTGCAGCCCTCATTACTGTCGACTACTTACCCATATACATGCCATTTGGTGAATTAAAATTGATCCCTCATCTATAAAAGCCTAGGGACTACCTTTAGTAAAGTTCAGATATTTCACTACATTAAGCTCTTATTTATATTCATGACTTCCCACTGTTTTATTTTTTATTGCACAGATTTTTAAAAAAGTTAATACTATTAAGCCTTTTATCTGGTCATTAAAAACAATTCTTTTGGCCAGGCGCAGTGGCTCACGCCTGTAATCCCAGCACTTTGGGAGGCCGAGGCGGGTGGATCACCTGAGGTCAGGAGTTCGAGACCAGCCTGGCCAAAATGGCGAAACCCCGTCTCTACTAATAACACAAAAATTAGCTGGACATGCTAGTACACACCTGTAATCCCAGCTACTCGGGAGGCTAAGGCAGGAGAATTGCTTGAACCCTGGAAGCGGAGGCTGCAATGAGCCGAGATCACACCATTGCACTCCAGCCTGGGTGACACAGTGAGATTCTGACTCAAGACAAACAAAGAAATTCTTTTTTTTTTTTTTTTAATGTTTTAAATTTTATTCCTCTTTTTACTTAATTTTTTAACACATATAGAGACAAGGTCTCACTGTGTTGCCCAGGCTGGTCTTAAACTCCTGGGTTCAAGTGATCCTCTGGCCTTGACCTCCCAAAGTGCTGGGATTACAGGTGTGAGCCACCGCGCCCGGGGAAAACAATTTTTTGATAGTTCAATTTTAGCTCCTCTTGCTGAAATACATATCCTAATCTATTTTCTTTTTTTTTTTTTTTCCGAGATGGAGTCTTGCTCTCTTGCCCAGGCTGGAATGCAGTGGCGTGATCTCACTGCAACCTCTGTGTCCTGGGTTCAAGCGATTCTCCTGCCTCAGCCTCCGAAGTAGCTGGGATTACAGGCATGCACCGCCACACCCAGCTAATTTTTGTTGTTGTTTTTTTCTTTTTTTTTTTTTTTTTGAGACAGTCTCGCTCTGTCACCCAGGCTGGAGTGCAATGGTGGGATCTCGGCTCACTGCAATCTCTGCCTCCCGGTTCAAGTGATTCTCCTGCCTCAGCCTCCCGAGTAGCTAGGATTACTGGCACTGGCCACCATGCCCAGCTAATTTTTGTATTTTTAGTAGAGACAGTGTTTCACCGTGTTGGCTAGGCTGGTCTTGAACTCCTGGTCTCAAGTGATCCAGCTGCCTCGGCCTCCCAAAGTGCTGGTATTATAGGCGTGAGCCACCATATCAAGCTCATATGCCAATTTACTTTCTTCTCAATACTTTCACGGTTAGCTCTTTGATTTGGCTGAAATGTAAGGTGCATGGTATGAAACACAGAACTAAAATAAACTTTATACAAGCCTATCTGTCATCAGCAGCAGTTAGTAAAGCATGACCTTATTCCCTCTTGTCCTCCCAGTTGTCATATAACTTGCTCCTGAGAAATGAAATCTATTTATGAAATCTCTGGTTTATTTCACTGTTCTATATTTTCATTTTTTACCCAAATCTCATCTAGGTGTGATGACTTTCATTTTAGAACATACTTAAAAATCTGCTGGATTTAGAAGCCTCCCTGCTTCACAAATTCCTACTTTTTACCCCCTCACAAAAAAAAAATCATATGGTATATGTGTTTTCCTGTTTTTCTAGAATAATGAAACATTGTAATTTAAATGATATTTTAAGTGTTTATACTGACCTGCAAAGTTTGTCCTTTTTTTTTTTTTTTTTTTGAGACGGAGTCCCGATCTGTCACCCAGGCTGGAGTGCAGTGGCGTGATCTTAACCCACTGAAATCTCCACCTCCCAGGTTCAAGCAATTCTCCTGTCTCAGCCTCCTGAGTAGCTGGGACTACAGGTGTGTGCCACCACACCCGGCTAATTTTTTTATTTTTAGTAGACATGGGGTTTTGCAAAGTTGTCTAGGCTGGTCTTGAACTCCTGACCTCAAGTGATCCACCCGCCTTGGCCTCCCAAAGCGCTGGGATCACAGGCGTAAGCCACCACACCCGGCCACCATCAAACTGTGTTTTAATTCTTTGAATGAACTTCTAAGTTGACACATTAAATTCTCAATATTTAACATTCTTTATTGCTGTTGTCTTTTAAAATTACTTTTTTTTTTTGAGATGGAGTCTCACTCTGTCACCCGGGCTGGAGTGCAGGGGCGCCATCTCGGCTCACTGCAACCTCCACCTCCCAGGTTCAAGCAATTCTCCCGCCTTAGCCTCCCGTGTGGCTGGGATTACAGTCGCCTGTCACTACGTCCAGCTAATTTTTTGTATTTTTCATAGTAGAGAAGGGGTTTCACCACGTTGGACAGGCCGGTCTCGAACTCCTGACCTCGTGATTCGCCTGCCCTGGCCTCCCAAAGTGCTGGGATTACTGGCGTTAAGTCACAGCACCCAGCCTAAAATTACTATTTAAAAAAAAAAATGCTAGGCTGTTTTTTTATCACTAGTATGTACACTGTAAGTAAATTCTGTAGACTTATCTTGCCATGTTGCTGTATCTGTGCTTCTATTACTGTTCTGTTTTCCCTTGGATTTTCTTTTTTTTTCTTTTCTCTTTTTTTAAATCTTTTAACAAATGGTTTATTGATACTATGTTATAATGCATGACAAAATGACAAAATATTAGTATCTAATTCTAGACTTCATGGCCACCCCACAGGATGAATCTTTGGAACAGAAAAAAAAAAATAAAGATTTTGTTTTCCCATAATCATAAAGTTATTATACTCAGTCCAGGCACAGCTAGTACAACATTCTGCTCAACCCCACAGGCTCTACTCCCTTTACCACCTATTTATAATATGTTTGGGTCACTCATAGGAGTGAAACACTGTCAGCATCAATAGTTAGTAGCACTTTCAAAATACATTTTGTTGTACTGAATAGAAACCGTAACTATTCAATTAGTCTAGTAATTCCAAATGGTCTTATTACTTCTATACATAAGATATGATCTTACAACATTTATGTAGCTAAATACTTATACTTCCCATGCTTTTTGAGGATTCCCAAAAGACTTTAGGGGGTTCCCAAGACTTTTAGGGTTTTTTTTTTTTTTCACAATAAAAGAAAGGAACAGTGTCAATCCATGAGAGTCAGACCAGCAATTTAATAAGATCCTCTTCATAGCTCAGTTCCCGGTGCATACAGAAATTCAATACAGCCCCATCACTCTCAGTTCTTAGAAGAATTTGAGAAGGATAAGAGCAGTAACTATCAGTTTTGTTTAACAGCCTAAAAGTGAAAACAGATGTCAAAAACAAAAACAAAAACAAAAAAAACAGCCAAATTCTTTCATCCCAGGATGTCTGAAAAGGAGAGACTCTATGGAGTGTGGATACAGAAAAGGAGTTATTCCCACCGGAAAAAAATGAACTGTGGACATAGTCACTCAAGACCAGAGAAACCACCACTGTGAGTAAGTAGCTTCAATTTCACTGTTACCCGGGGGGGCACACACCAGAAAACCTGGGACAAAGCCTGGGCTACAGCCCTTAGGATTCATTCTCAGGCTTCCTGGTGCTGTGGTTCAACAGCCTTTGTGGGGATGGAGAGAACCAGATACTATCACCATCACGTGTAAAAAAGAATACCACAGCAACAGCTGTCAAAAACCAGCTGGAGCTGAAGTTACACACCATTTGAAATCCACACTGTACTTGCTTTCTTGTGAAGGGCTTGAGACATGTGCAGAGATACCTTAAACATGTGTAGGTGACCTTCCTTTTGAAAGGCAGAGGAGGGCCTCCTGTGAACTCTTTCTACTCATTTGTTTTCCGATCAGTTCACCATTTCAACTAGAAAAGATGCTGTAAGCTACCTCAGCTGGCTTCTAATTTGGACACAGCACCAATACTACACACACAACTGAATGAATGACCACATCTTCCTGGTTCTTCCATTGGGCAGGGTCAATATGCTTCTTTTGGACTGAATAGGTGTGATCTTGTTCGAGAAAAGTGTGTAAATGTAGGGCCAGATTTTGTTTGTCTCCGTTCCGGAAAATTGGTGGAGCACTCCTCGGCTCTTGTATAATTCAATGACTGGCTTTGCCACATCTTTGTACTGTCCTAGCTTGGCAGCAACTGCTTCGGGTTTATCATCCTCCTGCTGGACTAATGGCTCACCAGTGACATCATCAATACCATGTACATGAGGTGGATTGAAGTCCAGGTTATATACCCTTCCGCTAGGAGGGTGAATTCAACGGCGGCTGAGACGATCTTTAAGTGTTTCAAATGGAATGTTCAAACTGATCACTAGATCCACTTCACAGATTTTGTCCAGGGCTTCGGCTTGTCCTAATGTCCTAGGAAAACCATCAAGGAGCCAGTGCTGGCCACGCCTATTCTCCAACTCAGACATCATTAGGCGTGTGATCACATGGTCTGGAACCAAAAGACTTCTCTCTATATACTGCTATGCTGTCTCACCAACTTCGGTGTTGGCCTTGATGTTCTCCCCCAAGAAGTGGCCGCTGGAGAGATGCTGGAGGCCAAAGTTCTGGGCGATCCTCTGGCACACGGTGCCCTTGCCCGAGCCGGGTGGCCCGAGGATGACCGCGCGCAGGAGTTTAGAAGCCACTGTCTTCGCGAGGAGGGGGGCGGCCAAATGCGCAGCCCCGACCACGGCCCTGGAGGGAGCCCCGGGAACTTTGTTTCTCGGCCCCCTACCTCTGGCACCCTCCACTCGCACTGGGACTCGCCGGCTCCCCTTGGATATTCTTGGTAAGATGTTTCCCTGAACTTCCTAAAAATTACATTTGTATTCATTCTAAAAGCACTCATTACTCATTACACGATGAGTAGAACTCAAGTCACTGTACCAATTCTATAAAAAAGTCAAGAAAATGCTCAGATGGCTTTCAATTTACATGGGAAGACTGAATGCAATCATTATAATATTCTATAATTACAAACAAGAAGGACAAACTACCGTGGGGCACACCGTAAGTCTCACTTTTTCTTACTGGAGCTGTCTCCTTCTCT